GCGGGAGGCGCGGGGGCTAACCGGGGTCAGCAGCTGTGGCCCGGCGGCGGGGTTTTCCGAGGGCAACATCTGGACAGTGAGCCGCGGTGGGGGTGGGGGTGGCTTTGGGGGATAAGTGTAATTGGCCCGTGACACACAGCTTTGTGCTGGGGTGGGAGACCGGCGCTCCCCGCCGCCCCGGCCCCCGGCCCCCGGCCCCGCGTGTCCCGGGCACCAGAGGACCCAGGAAAGGCCCGGATGGGGGGTAGTGGAGAGAGGAGGGATGCACCCCCCTCCTGTGCAGGCAGGGAACCGAGGCCGCACTGGCTGGGGCCGAGCGTCAGCCCCGCCGCCCGCCCGCCGCCAGCGCCCTTTCCTGTCCCCACCCCCACCCCCCAGCTCTTGTGCGCCCCGTGTGGGCGGGGACTCGGCAGCCTGGCGAGACGGGTCCCCGCCCGCTCTCCCCCATCAGTGCACCAAGACCTGCGGAGTGGGCATGCGGATGCGGGACGTGAAGTGCTACCAGGGCACCGACATCGTGCGCGGCTGCGACCCCCTGGTGAAGCCGCTGGACAAGCAGACCTGTGAAGTGCAGCCCTGTCCCACAGACCCACCCGGTGAGCGGGGGCGGGGCCAGGGCAAGGGGGCGGGGCCAGGGGCGGGGCCCGGCCCAAGGACTCGCGGAAAATCAACAGGGCGGAGTGAGGCTCGGGAGACCCGGGCAGGCCAGGAGGAGGAGCGAGGCTGCTGCTGGAAGGGCTGGCCTGGCTGGGCGGTGAGGGCAGGGGGTGCGTGTGAGGCCTGGCGGGTGCTCAGGGCCCCGGGAGCTGTGCTAAGACCTGCACCGTGGTCAGAGCATCAGCCATGGAAGATGGGGGGCAGCTGCGGGAAAGCAGGAATCCAGCGCCACCGCTGGCCGCCCAGGGCTGGGCACGCAGCGTGTCTCCGGGCCTCCAGGGGGCACTGTGCGCAGGGGTGAGCTCGGCCTTGGCCCTGCCGGTCTCCCAGGGGTACTTTGGGGGCCGAGATCAGCGGCCCCTCCCAGTCCTGGCTCCTGGACATATGCACACCCCTCCCTCTGGGGGCGCAGGTCCAGCCACGCGCCAGCGCCCTGACATCCCCGGAGATGGGCGGGTGCCGGAGAGGGGTGGCAGAGAGAGAGAAGCCCATCACCCCTGAACCTGGAAAGGGCAGGAGTGGGCCTCGTGCCCACAGGGGCTCTGTGGCCCAGGGCCCCCTGAGCATCCCCTCCCCTGGGAAAAGAGAGCTGGGGAGGGGCGGGGCGGGGTGGCAGCCCTATTCTGATACCCTGTCCCCACCTCCACCGTGTCCCCCGCCCAGACGACAACTGCCAGGACCAGCCGGGCACCAACTGCGCCCTGGCCACCAAGGTGAACCTGTGCAGCCACTGGTACTACAGCAAGGCCTGCTGCCGCTCCTGCAGGCCCGGCCGCTCCTAGGCCCGGCGGCCGCGGGCCGAGTGCCCCGCCGCGGGGCTGCCGCAGCTCCAGCTCCGCAGCCCTCCACGGACTCCCCGGCTGCAGGGCGCCCGGGCTGCGGAGGCGAGGTGCTGAGCCCCTGCTCTGCCCCCAGGGAAGAAGTGTCCTGAGCGCGGGGCGGCCTCGCCGGACAGAGCCGCCCCGGCCGTGTGCACGCGACTGCCCTGAGCCCGAGGACGGCGCGTCGGCAGAGCGCACGCCCCGGCACCCAGCTGCCCCGGGGGCCCGGGCCTCCTGCCCCCGGCCCCCCTCACTTCTCTGGGCTCAGCCCTGGGAAGGTCCTGCCTGCCTCCGGAGCGGAGGTGGACGGGGGTGGGGCCGGCAGCAAGGTGCTGGTGCGCCCCCCACCGGGTCCCACGGAGGCGTGCCCCTTCCGAGGAGACCGCACCCCGGACTCGGCGCCCGGAGCCCCTCACACGACGCTCGCGCACCGAGGGACCCCCGCACTGTGTGCCGGAAGGAGGCGCCCTCTCGCCGTGGGCCTGCTCTGCGGGCTCTGTCACCGCCCCTGTATGTCAATAAAGTGGCCGTATTTATGGCAGCGTCGTGCGTTCCTGGCGGCTCTGGCTGGAGGGGGCGCGGCTGTCCAGCTCAGGAAGACGGGCCTGGGGGCGGGGCTGGGGCCAGGGGGCGGGGCTGCAGGGGCTCCCTGAGCCGCGACGGAAGGGGGCAGAGTGGGGAGCCCGCAGGCGGGGGCGTTGGGGGCTCAGGACCCCGGCGCTGCGGTCGGAATTCAGTCGGATCCTTGAGCCCATCGATGGTGGGGACCTGAGGGTGGGAGGACCAGCGGGGGGGGTGCTGGCAGGTCCTGGCAGGACATGGGGTGAGGGGGTGGCGGGCACTCTGCGACTAATCTGAAGCCCCTGCCTCCAGGTGAAGCTGGGCAGCACGCAGGCGGCGAGGGGGGCGTCTGGGGGCCGCCCCGGATGCTCAGGAACCGTCCACATCACTGTTTCTGGGCCCTGTAGGGGGACCACTTAATCTGGACTTGGGGTGCAGGGACACGGGAGGGCTTCCTGGAGGAGGTGATGTTTAGGCTGGCCCAGCAGCAGGAGTGGCTCTCCCAGACGAGTGGGTGGGGAAGAGTGTGGAGAGGCACGGACGGAGAGCCGAGGGGTGCTCAGGGCGCCGCAAAGGTGGGCACCGCAGCGAAGGGAGGACTCGGGGGTCCGCCTGCCGCAGAGCAGCCACGCCACGCGGGGCTGAGGGTGCCGCGGCGGGGGGCCAGCCCATCCCAGACTGGGACCAGCTCCGGGGCCTCCACACGGTGTGCCGGAAGGCGAGCTCCGGTGACACCAGAGACCTGTGGGGCGGGCGTGCCCCCCCCCCGTGTTCTGACCCTGACCCCTGCTCCACTGCCCCCATCCCCTCGTGTTCTGACCCTGACCCCTGCTCCCCCCGCCCCGCTCCCTACCCCCAGCTCCTCCTCTCCTCTGCCCCCCTTCCTGCCAGCTCTGCACCAGAGACGGTGGTCACTTGCCCCCGGTGACCCAGCCTGTCCCGTACAACCCCTCTCCCGGAGGTCAGAGTTCAGGCCCGTGGCCCCTGGTCTCTGAGGAGGGACACCAACCCCCGGAGAAACTCGGACTCGAAGGGGGCTCGCCATGGCGGCCCCTCTGGGCAGAGCCCCGACTCCGTGGCCTGGACAGGAGAAGATGGGCTCCACCTGGCCCCAGGCTGCCCAGAGCCCTTTCCAGAAAGTTCCAGGGAGGGCTCAGGCTGCTGGCCTGCAACCCCAGGCAGGCTGCAGATGGCGGCACAGGGTGTCAAAGACGAGTTTATTGGCTTTCTGGTTCTCTGGGGGCGGGGGGCTCCCCGCAGACCCGCACGCGCCCAGGTGGGTGCTGTGCTCGTTCCAGACCGACCTGTGAGTGGACAGAGGGCAGACAGCAGTGGAGGGAAGGACGGAACAGAACAGAACAGCCCCGGGACGTGTCGCCGCTGGCCCCCCGCCCCCAGCCCCTGCCCCCAGCCCCCGCCCCCAGCCCCCAAGCCAAAGCATCAGAAACAGATGTGTGGGTTCCACGAGGGAGGGGTGCGGGGGCTCTGGGAAGCGTGTCCGTATGGAGGCAGGGGCAGAGGAAGAGGAGGGAGGACGTCCAGGCGGCCAGAGAGAGTGGGTCTTCGCTAACTCTGCGCGTCCCGTCCAGCCGCACCGGCTCTCCAGCAGGACCACTCTGGCCGCCCCTGGCCCTCATGGGTTTGTCTGGTGGAGGGGCAGGTGGCTGGGGGCTCAGTGCCTCCTCCTGGGCAGACGGGGGCTACCCTGCCGGGGGCTACCCTGCCGGGGGCTCCAGGGGCAGAGGGCGCCCTGGAGAGGGTGGGCAGGGGGCATGCTTTGGAGAGAGGGGCCACCGCCTCCGCAGGGCTGAGGAGCTGCGCTCCCCACGGTGGGCGCCCCGGCTTTGGGGCGCTTCTCCGGGGCGGCCACAAAGTGTCGTTTCCCTGTCAGAGAGAGGGCACTGAGAAGGGGCTCTCGGGGCGACCCTGGCTCTGCTGGGGGCTCAGGGCAGAGTGGGCTCAGCCGAGGTCTTCACACGGAGCAGGGTGGGGTGGGGGCAGGGCCGGGTCCTTCCTTGCTCCCAGCTCCCCACGAGAGACAGGTGCAGAGAGAGGCACCGGGCCCCTCTCCGCTGGGACCGGAGCATGCCGGACTCCCGGAGGCCCAGCGACGGAAGGGCCTGTCCCAGGTCCCGGGCAGATCGTGGGTCGGGCAGCCGCTGGCCCACAGTGCCGCCCACCCACCACCCCAGGCCCGAGGGGCGGGCCGTGCCTTTCGGCGTGGGCCCACCCGAAGCTGGTGCTCGAGAATTGGCCTCTTCTCCCTCTTTCCCCCCAAAGCCAGTTGGGCCTCAGCGTCCCCTAGGCCTGGCCGCCCCTGAAACTCCCCCGTCCAGGGGGCTCTGCAGAGAGGCCGGCTCAACCTGGGTCTCCGCCGCTGGCCCGGGAGCCAGGGGCGTGCGTGGGGGAGGAGGGACACAGCCCCGCCGTTCTGGCTGGAGGGTCAGAGGAGTGGTTCTGAAATCGCCAGGGAAGGCGGGCTCAGGGCCCGAGCCTCGCGGTGGCCACCCCTCCCTTGAAGAGGTGGGTTGCCTGAGGCTGAGGGACGGGGCGGGGGGGGGGTGGACAGGGCTGGCTGTGCAGCCGGAGACGGCCAGGCAGCTGGGCTGAGGTGGAGGCCACCGTGCACTACACCCGCATGACGGCGGCAGCGGGGCGCCGGACCCCGCCCCGCCCCGCGGTCCTCACCTGGGGGCCGCGCTCACCTGTGCCGCATCACGCCCGCCTCTCCTCCAGCCCGGCCACCCCTACCCCTGGCCCTGCCCACCTGTGGGGACCTCATCCCTGCCGCGGGCCCCCGAGCCCCCCGAGGGCCGGGCCCTGCGAGGGCAGGGAGGCTGGGAAGCTGGGACCAAGCCGGGGTCCGGGTCTGGGGCCGGGCTGGCGGGCCGCAGGGACCCCTCCATGGTGTTGGGGGGGTCCTGCGGGGGGTGGGCGAGGCGGGGGCGGAGGGCGGGGGGCTCAGACGTCGGTGCTGATGCTGCGGCTCCGCGAGAAGGCCTCCCGCATGGCGGAGAGGCGGTGGGGGTTGAGCGCCTGCAGGCCCCCGAAGGTCCCGGCCGGCAGCGCCACGTCCTCCTGGCTGAGGGTCCGGTAGGCCACGCGCTCCCCGCCGTTGGGCACGCCCTCGTCCGCGGGCTCCTGCAGGAAGAAGGTGGGCGGCTCGCAGTGGGAGCAGCTGCGGCAGAGGGCGCGGGCCTGCGGGGACCGCTGGCCGAAGGCGGCGGCGGCGGCCGGGCGCAGCGCCGGCCCGTTGGTCAGCACCAGGTTGCGGTTGCAGTGCAGCGGGGGCAGGCCGGCGTGCGGGTCGAAGTCAGGCTCCTCCTCGTCCTCCTCGGGCTCCTCCTTCTTGCAGCAGTAGTACTGCGGGGGGGGGGGGGGGGAGGGCTGCAGACCCGCTCACTCCCCCCACCACCCCCACGGCGCCCCGTCCCTGCAGCCGGCCACCCCCCCGGGGGGGAGCTCGCTCAGGTGGGTGCCCCGCCACACACCCTGCAACGAGGGGTTCACTCGTTGCGTCTGCATGGCAACCGGAGGCGGGCACTGTGCAGATGGGGAAACTGAGGCACGGGGGGGGCCGGGCAGCCTGGCCCCAGCGTGGTTCCTGGGCACCTGCTGTGCCGCCTCAACCTGCTCATGGCCTCCCCTCCCTCGGGCTGCCCCGGAGTGCGGGTGGGGAAGGGGGAGCAGGGCCCAGAGGCTGTGCGCCCTTGGCTAAGGCCCTGACCCTCTCTGAGCCCCGGCCCTGGGGAAGCCCCGGGCAGCGTGGTCGCCGAGCCCCGCGGGGGGAGTCGGGCCAAGGCTGTCTGTCTGCGTTACACCTGCTTCCAGGCCTGCGGTGCCCCCGCCTGGGCCCCGGCCTCTGGGGGGGCTCCCCACCCCCAGCCCCCCGGGGTACCTGCAGCCGGCAGTAGCACAGAACAGCGATGATGCAGAGCAGAATCACAGTCGCCAAGATGCCCCCGGTGATGACCACCGTCCCGGCTGTCATCCGCCCCCTTCTCCATCAACAGCCTGCAACACACACACCCCACACACGCACAGGGTCGCTCCCCCTGGCAGAGCAGCCCGGCCCCCATGGCGGGGTTCACGGCCCACCTGGGAGGGGAGCCGGACACCCGGGGGAGTGCACTCGGGGGGCAGGGGGGGTCCGGCCCACACCCGAGGCCGGGCTCGCTGAGCACGCGCCACCCTGGCTTGGGGGGGGGTACGGGGGGGGGAACTCCGTGAGCAGGGACGTGGGTGCGTGGGGCGGTGCCGGGTCGAGGATGGCGCCCCTCCGGCCTGGCTGGGCGAGCTCACGCATTCTCAGGGCCACCCGAAGGCCGCCCAGCCGAGAGCAGGGCCTTGCAACCCGCTCCTTCTCCCGGCGAGACCGTCCTCACGTTGCCACAGCGCTGAGTTTCCCTCGGCAGCAGGACCTGCCACCCCACCCCACTGGGTACCGGAACAGACCCCTCTTCTGTGCAGTCTCCCGGGCGGGAAAACACGCGAAACATAAAACCTGCCATCTTAACTACTGTTTAAAACATCTTATTTATTTTCATTTTACTTTATTTTATTTTAAAAGATTTTATTTACTTATTTAGAGAGACAGGAAGAGAGGGAGAAACACTCGTGTGGGGTTGCCCCTTGTGCGCCCTCTACTGGGGATCTGGCCTGCCGCCCAGGCACGTGCCCTGACTGGGAATTAAACTCGTGACCCTTTGGTTCTCGGGCTCGTGCACAATCCACTGAGCCACACCTGCCAGGGCTGAACCAGGTGTTTCGTTTTCTTTTGTTTTTACGATTTTATTGATTCATTTTCAGAGAGAGGGAAGGGAGGGAGAAAGGGAGAGAAACTGATTGGTTGCCTCTCACACGCCTTCTGGCTGGGAACCAAACCTGCAGCCCAGGCCTGTGCCCTGACTGGGACTCGAACCCGCGACCCTTGGCCTTTCGGGATGACGCCCAACCAGCCCGCTGAGACGCGCCGGCCAGGGCGTTGCCGGTTTTCGGTGCGTGGCACGGTGGTGTGGGGCGGACTCGCTTGGATGTGTGGCCAACCTCAGAGCTTTCTCATCTTTCCAAACTAGACCGATTCCTTTCTGATGTTGACACTCTCTAGATTAAAGACAAAGCCTTGTAAGCACCCGTGTTTTAAAAAGTGGCTTTTCTGTAGCTAAGTAATCGGAGGCACTTGAATTACAGAACCTACTTCAAATACTTTTCCAGGATAAGTTCTTAGAGGTGGGATTCCTAGGCCCAGGGACATGCTTTTTGGGAACTTTTTTTTTTTAAGAAGTGGGGGGAAGGGAGGGAGAGAGGGAGAGAAACATCAGTGTGTGGTTGCCTCTTGCACCCCCTACTGGGGACCTGGCCTGCAGCCCAGGCACGTGCCCTGACTCGGAATCGACCTGCGACCGTTTGGTCCGCGCTCAATCCGCTGAGCCACAGCAGCCAGGGCTTCCGTGCACTCTTTATCGCGGACAATGCCCCGCAAACAAGGGGAGAGAAGGAATGAGCTGCCCCCGGCTGTGCTCTGGTTGTGCGGAGGTCGGTCCGCCCAGCCAGGGGCCGTAAACCAGCTCGCGGGATAACAGCCTCCTGGCTGGGCGGGTGCGTGCGCGGTGCCGACGTTCTCACCGTCGCTCGAAGGCACCAGGGCTGACGCTGGGCTCGCGAGGGTCCCAGGTGGCGAGCGAGCCCCTCTCACTAACCAGACGCTGCGGCCTTCCGCGCGGCCGGCCTCAGCCCGGGCCCTGGATCTTCTCGGCGGGGGGTGGGGCGGGGGTGGGGCTGACTCATAAACACGTGAGTGCGCAACGTGACAGACGGGGACGCCCCCGAACACACACACACAAAGAAACCCCCCAACCCCGTCTGGGCTCAGCTTTCCGCAGTCATCTCCAAAGTGACTCTTCACAGCTGGCGGGCCCGCTCCGCTCCGGGGCTCCAGGATCAGCTGCGGTCGCTGCTCCGACTCCAGCCCAGCCCCCTCCCCTCCGCGCTCCGCCCCTGCCTGCTCCGCCCCGCGTGGCGCCGCCGCTCGGGGGGAAGAAAGTGGGTCGTGGCTCCGGGAGAATCCTCCGTGGGCCAGGGCAGGCCGGGTTCCCTCGCGTGGCCCTGAACACGCGGCTGTTCTGCTGTTCCGTCCTCTGCGCTGGCTCCCGCCCCCGTCCCCCTCGGGGCCGCGGACTGCCGCCCCCGGGGGTGCTGTTGAGACTGGGCCGCGTGGGTGCAGCCGCCGCCAGCACCGTTGTTCCGTGGCGACGCTGCCCTCCCACCTAAAGCTTCCCGCGGTCCCCGGGGACCCTCGCCGGAGCCACTGCGTCCTGGGGGGCGGCGGCGGCGGCGAGCGGTGGCTTCTCAAAGGCTGCTGTGTCCTCCGCGTCCGCTCGCTCCGCTCCGGCCTCCTCCCGAGCACGCCCCCTCCCGCCGAGGCGGTCGCCCTACAGTGCAGTCCGCGCGCCCGCTTCTCCCCACCCCACGGCCAGCGCACGTGGGAGCCCCCTGAGGTCTGAGGGTGTTTGGCAGCATCGCGTGACCCCCCCGACCTCCAGTGGGAGGTGTGGGTTCCGGGTCATCGCTGGTCTTCGGGCCGTCCGGCTGGTCCCGCGGGCACTGTGCGGTTGGAGGCCCCTCCGCGTTGGCCGCTGTGTGGCTTTGGCGCCCCCCACCAACCCTTGAGGGCACCCCGCTGGCAGGCCCAGGACGCCCCGGCTCCTTCCGCCCCGGACCTGGGCGCCGTCCCCTGTCGCCTCTCCGTGACCCCTGGGTCTGCCAGACTGGGGGTGTCTGCAGAGCACCCGGGTCGGGGCCCTGGGGGGCGCCCCCTGCCCCAGGGTGTGTGTTCCTTCTGGGCGTTTCCAGGGACCAGAGCGGGGGAATTTTTACTTTTTATTTTTTAGGAAGACAAAACCAAAATGTGTCGCGCTGGTGTTTCCGCCTCAGACGACAGGGTGTGGGGTTTTCCTGGTGAGGCTTTGACGCCTGGGTCGCCGGTGCCGTGACAGTCTCCCCCGGTAACACCCTTTTGTCACCGGTGTTTGCTGTTACATGTGATAGTCAGAAACAGCACCACCAGCGCTCGGACCCACGAGTCTGCTGAACGCACTGATATCATCCACGTGCGTCTTTGGAGGCTGTTGTTCTTGTCCCCGTGGGGACGGAGCGTAACAAGCTGCTTCAGAGTCACTTGAAATAATTCGTAGTATGTTCCCCCGCTAACCTGAGACTTCCGTTCTTTTATTCCAATTAATGTTATTTTTTAAAAGATTTTATTTATTTATTTTTAGGCAGAGGGGGAGGGAGAGAGAAACATCAATGTGTGGTTGCCTCTCGTGCGCCCCCTACTGGGGACCTGGCCTGAAACCCAGGCGTGTGCCCTGACTGGGAATTGAACCAGCAACCCACCAGTTTGCAGGCCAGCGCTCGATCCACTGAGCCGCCCCAGCCAGGGCTGGTTAGTGTTCTCTTTTTAAAAACAGGTTTGCATGTGATTTTTAGGTGTAGAAAACATTCGCTCCAGAGTCAGGAGCACAACACCAGGTGCACCCAGAGAGGTCTTAGGTCCACCGCAGCCCCTCCCTGCGTGGCGCGGAGGATGGTGATTGCACTTGGTCGTGGGTCGGTCCTCCCGCTGCCTCTTTCTAAAAATTGAGGCAGATGCAGATTTCCTTCCCCCTTGCCTCCCCGGGGGGGTCTGTCCCCAGAGTGACCCCATCTCCCTGACGCTCGGATGTCCCCGGGACCCCGCAGGGCCATGACAGAGCCCGCCGGCTCCTTCCCCCGCCGGCTCCTTCCCCCGTCGGCGGCATCGCGAGGAGGGGCCCCCCGCAGTGGGCAGCCACGGGCCTCCCACTGCTCCCGGCGCAGGCCTGCGCGGCGCGGGGAGAGCTCCGCGGCGAGCACGTCCCTCCCTGAAAGTTCGATAAGCCCTGCCAAAGGCGCGCTGGAATCCGGGCTGACGTCTCCTCGTCCAGGAATGTGTGTGAGAGTGACTGACACTCTCGGGGTTTTCGCTGAGGCTCCCGGTCTGGCTGGTCGGGGGCAGGGGGGTGCAGGGGAGGCCTGAGGGGCCTCGGTGGAGGCGGCGTCCCGGCTGAGCCTTCAGGCCTGGGGGGAGACTCGCCAGCAGGATGATGGGTCCCCGGTGTGCAGACAGACGTAGGGACACGCAGACTCGGACAGACGGGGAAGCTGTCGCCCAGGCAATGCTGTGCATCAGAGGCGAAGCTGGGTGGGGGGCCCAGACCTCCGACAGACAGACAGACACCCAGACAGACCCAGACAGACCCCAGGCGACCGGACAGGGAGGCGCAGACGCACAGACAGCTCCGGGCTCAGACAGACAGAGGTGCGGACAGGCCGATGCAGACAGCCTGCCCGGCAGGGCCGGCGTCAGGCGGACACAGTCCAGGCCACACAGACCGTCGGGGCGGGGGCCCGGGACCCCCGCGTTCCTGGGCGCCCGGCCGGGCCGCTCTGACCTGCCTCGGCCCCCGGGGCGGCTGAGGCCAGCTGGCCCGCCGGCCCGCCCGGGGGTGCAGGCCGGCTCTGGCGGCTCCAGGGAGCGGGGGTGCAGAGGAGGCGGCCAGCAGGGGTGGGGGGACGCTGGGTGGGGGCCAGGCCTGCTGTCCAGATGCATTTCACGCTCCGCGCTGAGGTAAGGCAAAGCTGGGCCGGCAGCTGCTGGCAGGGGGCTGGGCGCCGGCCCCCACACCTGCCCGTCCTGCGGGGCTCAGGGGCACCTCGGCCTTCCTCCGTCCGGAGTGGCCAGGGGGCAGGCGGCAGGATGACCCCCAGGCGCCCCTCCCCAGTTGTCAGGGCAGCTGTGGGAGACAGAGCCAGGCAGGGCGGCCGTGGGAACAGGCAGGTGGGCAGACCGAGGCTCAGAGAAGGGCAGGGCCACACCCAGGGGCCCCGCTGAACCCGGCACCTCATCAGACTGGGGGCGGCCGGTCCCTGTGCCTCCTTCCCACAGGTGGTCCCCGTCCCTGCCACGAGGTGGCCCGCTGCCAGCCACAGGGAGT